TGGAAGGAGGTAACGGAGCAAAGGAGGCAGGAGGAAGGCTTCCCCGGCAGCATCAGGACCAGCAGGGATGGAGGGGGAGAGTCACGGTTAGTCTTTCACTCTTTTTTTTAGATCCTAATGCGTGTTTCTGACAAATATGTGCGTGATATGCGGTGCCACAGCTCCCAAAGCCATGCGTGATGCGTATTTAAACCCTTATCAGCAGTGCGTTTGTTTATCTACTGTAATAAACCCAGAGGGAAGCCTCCTTTTAAACAGGTGGCCTCTGGAATGCACAGCCAGCAGTGAGACATAAAAAGATCTGCATGCTGAATTATTGAGCATCATTCTGCAGCTCTGACAGGATGCTGGGAACTGCTTAAAAGTTGTGTCTCTGCTCTGATGAACTCATGCTGAGATCATCCACATGCATCACAGGGTGACCCAACCTTCACTGATGCTGTCCCTGATGTTTTACTGGAAATTCAAGTCCTGACTTCATTTTCTGAGAGGGACACAGGAGAGGATGGCTCAGCGAAGGCTGTGATTGAGCATCATCTCAATTATTTACCTATTTAGAGTTTCACTGAGCTTTGGCGCTTCTCAAAATAGACCCTCTTCCAGTGTGGCCTAATTGCAGGATTTCTTTAGATGAGATGTTATCAGGAAGGAGTCAACAACGATATCTTTTTTTTTATGCTTTTTTTTTTGTTCATTTTAAGGAATCTAATAGACCCATTTCAGATAATGCATTTTTTTCCTCCATGTTATAGAAAAGATAAAGTTTTTAGGTATTTTCCATTGGCCGAGCATGAGATAACAGTTAAAGAATGACAAACCAAAGTGTGAGGTGAAGGCGAAGGGACATAACCACGCTGAATGTGCCTGTCAAACTGGCAGCTTGTGACGGCGAAATACACAAATAATAGCAAGTCATGTCATCACTGCTGTCTTTTTATAGGAAAGTATACTACTGTCAAGTCTTATAATTTTCCGTATAATTTATACAAACTTTATGCTAATAATGAGTGTTTTAAGGAATGCATTGTGTTTGTATCCTTTTCTCAAACTCTGCTCTGCTGATGTGGTGCTTTGGCCCTCACCCCCTCTGAGTCCATTGGGGTGCGGCTCTGTTCGCAACGCTCACTTCAAAGGCTTTCAGCTGCAGGGTGTCGAAAAGGTTTTATCTTCTCTCTGCATTTTTCCATCTTACCTGCACCTGTCAGTTCAGCCTGGTTTCCTATACAAAGGAAATGGTGCATCTGTTCATAGGCGCGGTGCTCTGCAGTTGCAGGTAGGTGTGGTAAATGTGGTTATGGGTGTCATCTATTTGCCCGTCTATGTTTGATCTTCATCTGCAAAAGGGTTGACTGGGTGACATGTAGTGACCTCTGCTCCTATCCTGTTATCACTGTTTACTGCAGAAGATAAACACAAAGTAAAGTAGGAAAAAAAATAAGGAAAATAATACATTATATTTTAAATGTATATTTTTGAGAGAAAGTAATGCAATGGGAGATCAAAAAAACTCACTAAATCAGCCTGGTTTAGCGGGAATGCTTTTTCAGAAAGGATAAGGTAGTGGTTAAAGTTGTTGGGAAGATTGATTCAAGTAAAAACCAAGAACTTGTTAGAGGCTGAAAACATAGGGCATCATTTTGCAAATTGCCAAAGGTTCCTTAAAGAAGATTTTTTTATGAATTGAAAACTTAAACTTTTCCACTTGTGGAGTTCTGGATAGAGCATATTGAGAGACGAAAACATTTTTTTATGTCTTAAATAGAAAGGGTTTATATGTTTTTAACTATTTTTAAATAGTTACTGCTCTAAGTGAGTTGCTGTGTTTGCTAATAGCATGTTTAAGAGTCTCTACACTCCAGTTAACGTTACTCGACTATTTAATTAGTCGACAAAACTGAAAACAAGTGGAGGCCCAGACAGACAAGCAGAGCTTTAATTTGCTTAGTGCAAAATAAAACTTTTGAATAACCCACTAAACATTCAGCTTCAAAGTATGGAAAAGTGGTGGAACACCCATTAAAACTAGCTCTTGTCCCTGCTAATGAAGAGTATCCCCTCAGCTGATAACCCCAATTTATTTTCTTGTTAGAGTGGTTTAGGTCATTTTTCTGTACATATAACATTTTGCATGCAGACTAAATAATGTACATTTGAGTGTAATTCTCTCAGAGCATCTTCGTTTACAAAGTACAGTTACATTTTGCTTTTAATTATTTCATAAATAAACAGGACTTTGCTTTGGCCCTTCACAATAAACCCCATGTAGAATACCCTGAAGTTTAAGGCTGTTTGTGATGAAATGTGAATAAGTTCACTTTTGCAAAGTGCTCTACTTCTGATGTTTGCAAAAGATTCAAGCTTCAAAGCTCAGGCAAATCTCAAATCTTCCACATTCAGGTCAAATAAAACTCTAAAAATAAATTACATTTATATCCTGAGATGAAAAACTGAACCAGATTCAAATAGAGTTCCTCTGTTTCCTAAAATAAACTCCACTGTAGGAAAGGAGCACAAACAGCTGATGTGAAAAAAGCAGGGACTTTGATCACATTCCAGTAGCCATTTAGTGAACATGTGCAATGTTTATCATCCGTGTTGTGCATGTTCAGTTAAATGCATCATAAGCAGGGCTGATTCAGACTCCTTCAGCCAGTTGTTAGTCACTCTGGGTGGTGTTAGCATTTGGGTGATGTGTGGGAGCTCCTCCAACACAGATCAGTGAATTGTACTGTGGGGAGAGCTCACCTCCCCCCTGAAGAATCGCTAGGAGACAGACTACAAAGAGAGCATGGATCATTCTTTCACATCCAGCCCATATTATTATTAGACCAGAGGAAGGGCTGGATTCTAAACTGCAAAAACATTGTTGGTCCTTCCTTTACTGAACACTGTTGTTGAGTTGCACGTTTTGTCCACTTGGTGGCATGGGCTGCACCAAGAAGCTGCTGTGAGGCTTTGTGTGGCCTCCACATATTTGTAATCATGCAGGACAACGCACTTATTTTGTGATAATTTATTTTTCACAGTTCAGCTGCTTGTGAATCACTAGTGACCGCATCGAGCCACATCTGTAGAGTTCAATCTGTACTCATTATTACCTGTAATGCATGTTGCTTTGATCCCTTTAACTGAAAATAAACCAGGAAGAAAGCATCAACAATTAGCTGCAAGTGTTTAGATTCAGTTTTAGGATTTTTTTATTTCTTTTTTTGTATGTAAACAACAGCTCACCACCTTAATTAGAAATAGCTATGGTTACTACAAAAAAGAGCCCTGCAAAACCTATTTATACCACAGTACAATCACAGCCTTCAATATTCTTTATCAGGATTTTCTGTTACTTACCAACATAAAGTGCAGCATAATGTGTGATCTGAAACTAAAGGATTTGAGGCTTTAAACTTTAGGTAGGCTTTGATTGGACTTTTCTTACATGCATAGATTCTGATCCATATTGATATTGTTTTCTTTTTTACTGTTGGAAGATGAAGCCCCACAGCAGTGTCGACTTTTAAGGGTTCAAAATCATTTTCCTTTATGTTTATCTTGTTATTTATCTTATTTATTTCGATTCATTTGTTGGCCTGCTTCACTGTTCTTTCTGTAGATAAGCATCTCCGCATCTTGATCCTGCCACCACGGTGTGGACGAGGTGATGTGCGATAATTGTTTTCCGTTTTGTTTTTTAAACCAAACATAGGTTTTCATGTTTGATTTATTTTTAGGTAGAGTTTAAATGAGAGTTAATAAGACTTCCTTGCTAAAAAAAAAAAAGGAAAAAAAAGGTTCTTGCTCCTGAGCTGTGGACCTCTGTAGTTCCTCCAGGGCCACGGAGTGACTTTCAGTTATTTAATCCTTACCATTCAGTTAAGCTTAGGGGTATGACCGGGCCTTGCTGTCTCATAGCTTTATTTAAGGTCTGTCTGATGTGATCCTTGGTCTTTCTCAGACAATCTTGTGACGCCTTCACAGAATCCCTGCATCTTAACTGAGATTGAATTACACAATGGCTAACTCTGGTCAATAACAAAGTGACAAATGTTTACAATAAATTAGTTCTTTAGCGGTATCAGAATAAAAGGGAATAAATTAAAATTCACATCACACTCTCCAGATTCTGTTGTTTGTGTTCTTGTAAAATAAAGTGAAGACCTTAAATGTTTTTAAATACTTTTGAAAGGTCATTTCGATTCCGGCTTGATGTTTTAAATCAAGTTTAGGATAAGCTGTCTATATCTGTCTGCACAAGGAATTCTTAGAGTCTCTTTAGAAGTTTAAGCTGGAAAGATGCATAAAGAAAAAAATTACAATGTGCTTTAGTGCTGACTCCACTGTGTGCATTTCCTCTGAGGGATATGCAGCTGCAAGCATTTAAAGTAGCCACACAGACATTTCAGTTGGTGCAAGTGTCAGGGTGAAGCATTTGGGCCTCTGGCGATGAAAAAGGGAAAAAACCAATGTTGCACTCATGTCCTACCGACTGAGTTCATTAGTGGCCACCTAGACAGAGACAGGAGCCGGGTTGCAGTTGGAAGAAGCATGATTGACAAAATGGGATAAGTTGAGAGAAGAATGCATTCAAGAGTGAAGGTAAACTCTTAAAATTATTAAGTGATTATAAGCATTGTTTATTGTTTTAAAAGTGAGTGATCAACTTGGTTTATTTAATTTATCTTTTTAGAGGTGCATATAGCAAGAAAATAAGAGGAACCGCTGCTGCTAGAAGCCTGGAAAATCAGAACTTGCTTTGGCTAGGTGCTGGCCCTTCATAATAAAGGTCCTGCATGGATTTCTGTTCACTTTTTCAATCTGGTTTCAGTATCCCAGGCAGTGACAGCGAGGAGAGAGAAGAGGGAGGCTGAGAGAACAGCATGTAAAAAAAGGGGGAAGAGGAAAAAAAAAAACAAAGTGATTTCAGCATCCTGGCAAGTCGCACATTTCAAATCAAAGGGGAAGAGAAAGTTGGTGAGTGAGAGAGATTTCCATTCTTTGCCAGGGAAAGCAAAGAAGTCATCTGTCTTGGGGGATTAAGTGAAGCAAAATCGACTCAGGGAAACAGCTGGGAGTCTCTCTTTGACAAGGAGTGACTGTCAACAGTCGCAGCAAGGATTCGTGGTTTTCTGAACTTCCCTTTTCCCCTGAACCGAGCGACCTGTCGAAGAACCGAGACTTCACACGCTGATACAGAATCCCTCTCTGAAGCTATGGGAACTGTGAACGAGCTATGCGTGTCCAGCCTCCAGATGTTCTTGTGTCCAGCTATGAACACACCTCCAGGTAAAGAAACATCAAGACTGAAATCCTTCTGTTGTAACATTTTCCTTAACAGTCAACTATTAGACAGTTTACTAAGTGACAGTTCAGGCATTCCCATGTGACAGCTCCTATGGACTCACAGCCTCAGTAAAAAATAGAAGTACTCTAGTGACTTAATCCGGCTGTCACTATTTAACCCTGTTTAGTGTGAGCTAATACTTTTACTACTAATCTCTACACTCATGTTGACCCACACAGCTAATACCATGTCTTTAAATCTGAAAACTAAAGGAATAGATCTCTTACTCTGTTCTAAAGTGTGTAAATAGATATTATTGAAGTAACTTCCCCCTGCTGCAGCAATACCCAGAACTGGACGATGACGAGGAGGATGTGATTGCTTCCCCACGTCGATTGTGTTGTTAGGTGTTGCAACTGCGTTCCAATTCACTGCAGGGTTTTCCATTGGGAGCGTTTGAACAGTTTGTTGTCGTGACTGCAGCAGATTTTGTTGTTGGGGTTTCGGCGGATCAGCTGACGGGAGTGTGCACTAGGCGGGAAGCGATGCTGTCTCTGTGTTTTCAAAACACCTGAATCAGCAGCAGCAGTTTTGTGTTTAAGGAGAGGCTCTTTTGGCTGTGGGTGTTTGATGGGGAAGTCAGCTGGACTGTTCTGCTTTCAGATTGATTGCAGAAGGATTTGAGCAACTATTGTAAAACAAGTGAAGTTAAAGGACGTGATTTCTTCGTCAGGAAATTAGTAGTAGATCTACGGTTGCAACCAGTATTGGTAAAGATAATATTTCATGTGATTTTTACCCCGCTCTAACATGTCCTGTCTAAAACAAGTAGTCATGTTTCTAAAAATCAGTGTAATTGTCAATTTGTGAGACCCAGATATTCTTAAGTTTGCAGGTCATAAAATATTGGTTGGAATATCTCTTACATATTTCCAAATAATTGTCTTTCTTCAAGATCCCTCTTATTTTGTGAAGCGCACCAGTCCCTCTTGCAGCCTAAACCCACAAAACATGCTTCTGCCTCCACACACCTCAAATTTTATTATTTCTTCTTAATCTAACAACTATATGATGACCAAACTCATTTTTGGTTTTATTAGATCAAAGGGGTTGTATAAATTAAGTTCATTTATCCTTTTAATTTTGCTCTTTGCCTCTTCTGCTTAGTTGCCTTTAAGCACTAAACTCCAGCTGGCAACCTACGCGTTTTGCTTCCTCCCTGAGGTTGATTTTCTGCTTTAGACCACAACAAATTAATCTTTTAGACATAGAACCTTTCTCCCTTTTAAACTATATGATAGCTGAACTTTATTTAGGTTTACCTCCTTGCAACTAACCATTTGAAAATGCGAGGATAATTATCATTGATGATGTGTGAGTTTATTACACCTTAATATCAGCCTCCTTTAATTAGATGAAACCCAAATTGTAGTTAAATGCTGAAACTGTGGTCTTGAGTGCCAACATCTGGTCTGTGAAGTTTTGATTGTGATTACTTTTGATCCCTGATTAATACCACATCATCAAGGGGACTGTTGATTGTTTATTACATGATTCTACGATATTGACAGAAATAGCGCTTAAAGTTTTCTTCTATGATTTATATCCTGGTCATGAGCAGACACAATGGGTTTGTTTAAAGGTTACATTGCAAACGTCTCCTTTTCAGGGGGAATTGCTGGGATAATTATCATTGATGGTGCGTGAGTTTATTACACTTTAATATTAGCTGCCTGCTGTGTGTCAGAACTGATGTTTTCCACAATAGTTTATCTAATTAAGGCAGTTATGTCCGGATATACAGTTATAATCTTCATTCTGTACATACTAAAGATTTGGAAATGGAATGAGAGCGGCGTCCTTCAGCTGAGAACAGTGCAATATTTTGATAAGGCTGAAGCCATGGACGTCTACTTATCTGCTAACAAGTATGATGTAATGATGTGATGATGTGGCCGACTGGAGATGTATAAAATGCCTTTTTAACTGTTAATGGAGGCCACTTCGAGGTGAGCCCGGAGGTGAGCAGCTGCCTTATGTAAATAAAAAAAAAAAAATCTCTGATCTGACTAAATTACAATTTCTATCAGAATCTGTTGTCATGTCTCCTGGTTATTTAATACATATAAGTTATGAAGTGTTATTTAAAGAGTTTGTCCTGAGTGGTGCAGACACAGAGCCTATCTTTGACAAACGGATGGAGTTGTCAATATTAGTGAAAATTTGTTTTTATGATGTCACACAAGGAAGCAGTGTGTTTGAGGTGATACTTCATTGAGCTTAAGAATAACTTAGCTGGACTTTTTTTTTTAAGTATTGCAATCTTAGTGGATTTTCACTGCCAATTAAAGAAAGTCAGGTATTTAAATGGAATACTTTCACTGTTGCAATTGTGCAAAGAAAGGCAAGGGAAAAGCTATAAAGAATCTGTTTCTGAATTTGTTGATATGTAATGATAATGATACAAATGCTTTCTAATTCTTATTTTATTAACTTCCCCGGTTGAAGCATTTATAACCGTATAATAAACAAGCTTCAGAAAATGATATAAAATCATTGTCCTAATGTGAGACATCAGATTTTATTTATACAGCACATTTGTCAGCTGTTGGTTTTCAAACAATAGAGGTAAATAAAAACTAGAAATGAATGTATCTTATATTGCTGCAGCATAATCTGAGAATGGAAAAGTTGGAAAGAAAATCAAACCTTCACTTTTAATACTTTATAGGGAAAAACTCCAACTTATATTACAGCTATAAAAAATAAACAGAACGAATGCTTACTTTTGTAAATATATGCTTTAAAAAAGTTTTGTTAGTGACCTTAAACATCATAAATAGGGCACATTTCTGAGGCCCATTTTTATTAACCTAGATTCAAAAAGGGAGTGATAAAAGAGCCTGCCATTTAAGAAAAGTAAAACTGTTTTCATATTTTTACTCCAGAAAATAGCTGACATAAAGAAGTCAGTTAAAGTCAGTTAAAACAAATGGAAACTGTATCAAACATAGCCAAACAATGACACTAAGAAGCATGCTATCCGATGTTTTTCAGAGGGAGCATGAAACCTCTTTGATATATTTTCTTTGCACATGAAAGCATAACCTCTATGCCTAATTATTACAGTCTTAAATATGACTGACCTAAAATGACCCAAAGTAATTTTTTGGGGAAATTTTACTTGAATATCTAATATATAATATTAGATATATGTTCAATATATGTTTTATTATATTATAATATTAATATATAATATGTTTCCTCTATAATGCTTGCTATAAGAAATTATTAAGATAATTAGGGCCATCCCTCTGTGTTGTACTTTAAATATTCTATTTATTTCCATGTATATTTTTGGATTACGTCTCTTCACCTGCAAAGATCCGTCTCACTATTACGTGGAAAGTAAGCATGCTAATAGATTAGTTATTCAGCCGACTAATATCAGCACAGCTGCCATCTGCTCTGTAAGACAGGTGGGTTATGAAACATTTGCTGGGACTCTGTCAGGGAGCCAATAGTGTGCAGGGTGTGGGAGCAGCTGAGGACGCTGATGTGCATGGAGACTCAGAGGAGGCCATTAGCAACAGCAAACTGCTTGAGGATTTCACCGGGTCAGCTTATTGCAAACGAACGGCTGCTGCCCTGTTGGTGTCAGTTGTTGCCGACTATTTTCAGCTCTTTTTCGTTCTCTTTAATGTTTGTTTGGATCCTTCCTTGATTTTTTGATACCTTTATACTCACTGAGTTTAGTTATTGTTATTTGCTTCTCAGAATTATTTCAAAGGTATAGCATGCTCTTAAGTCAGATAGAAGAAAATGTGTTAATTTTTTTTTACAAGCAAGTAGATTTTCTTTGTCATAAAACACAGCATCTTCTTTATGTTGTTAAACAATTCAAATTCAGTCCCTGTTTTCAAAAAAAGACATATTTTACAGCCTTTATTTGAATAATAAACAGTAATAGCATCAAGCTGTACTTTATTTTTATTTTTCTATGTCTCTTTATGCAGGTGTAGAAGCAAACATCTGTTTAAACATCTCTTTATCCTTCTTTCACTCCTACATTATTTTCTGCCTTTTACCTCCAGTTGCATCTGAAATAAAGCCAAAGCGTTGTTTTTAATTTTTGATGAGGGGAGCATTATAGTTAAAGCCATATTTGCTCAATTTATGCTCTTCTCTTTGACACTCAACAATTCACAGTGCTAAACTTGAAAAAGTAACCACAGAAGCACAGGAAGGATACTGAAATGAACAAAGGAAACATGAAAATACTTGAAGAATGAGCCCAAAGTAGATTAACCTAAGAGGAAAAATCTCAATAATAATAAAGAACAATGATATAAACAAGGGCAGAAAAGCAATGATATAAATATAAAATATATCAAAACAAGTAGATGGTGACAATGCAGGCCCAAATTAAAACCATTACCAACACACAAGGATCATTATGACAGAGAACTAGTTTCTGCTGCTCATCAATCACAAAATAGTTATAAAGTTATGCCAAAACAATCTAAAGTCAGTGTTTTTACAAAGAAATTGTCTTAGAAATGTAAATGCATAAAAAAATCTCCCATATTCCCAGGACAGAATCCATCAGCAGATCATTGCTGCAAATATGTTGCAAAGAAAAAGCACAGTGTTGAGGTTTTTTTTTTTAAACAATATATTAATTCTTATTAAATCTTAAGAAATATTATGCACATAATGCTTTTTATTGAGTTTTCATTTCTGTTGTTGTTTTATAAGGAATACTTTTTTAAAACTATTTTTATTCTTTTAAATAGTCGGAACCATGATTTGTCCAAATAAAATTTCCACATTATCTTGAATTTAAAAAAGATAAAAGGGATAATTATCTCATAGCTGTGTGCAGTTGCATACAGTAGAAGAAACCCACTGATATAAATGGACAGATCGCATGTGTTTTGCCCCCTTGGAGCAAAGATCTGTCTTCTGCTGTTAACTCACAGTCTGATGCCTTGCAGACACA